CGAATTTGCCCAATTTTCCCCAAAACAAGAGCAATAGGTTTTATGTTTCATAAACACTTGTCACCGATAACTATATACCACTTTTATACTTCCAGCTCGGAAAGTACCCGGATTTTGTAAATAAAACACACAAATTAAAATTTTATTCCAAATTTATTTTATCTCCTTCAAAATATGCTCCTTCTGAAGCGATACACATATGCCAACGCTTAACCCAATCTTCCATACACTTTTCGTAGGCCCGTTCCTTCGGTGAATTCTCTTTTACCGATTCAATCGACTCTAAACGCTTACCACGAAGGGGCAATTTGAGTTTCGGGAACAGGAAAAAGTCGCACGGATGCAGATCTGGCGAATATGGTGCCTGAGCGATGACAGTGGTACCGTGTTTGGTCAAAAAATCGCGTAAAAATCGCTGTAAAAAAAGTAATTCACAGAAGGCGCTCAAAAATCATACCATATGTCAAGAAAGGGTGTATCAACATAACAAAAAAAAATTTTTGAAAATAGTCTATTACTTAAGGAGTAGTTAACAAACAACAAAATCCGGATACTTTTTGTGGTACATCTACCAGCAACTGTTACTAAGTTATAAAACTAAAAACCAACACCAATCACTTTTCGCTGATAATCATAAGCAATAATATCGCATACAGAGATCTTCCAAAAACAATCACCTTCCTAAACCAAGCACCTTGGTTTTAAAATCTAGAATTTTCATCCAGGTGTATGGTAGGAAAAATGGTACAATAGGTCTCTTCTGGCCGCAGTACCGGCTGTTGAGCAATTTTCACGTCTACTCTTTAATGGTAGGAAAATGGCACATAAGCATTTCTTAGACATAAGATGGAGCTGGACTAGTACTAAAACTAACCAACTTGATATAACTAATTAAATTAACTGATAAATATCAGAAGAAAAAAAAAATTAAACAGATTTACATTGACTCAACAAAACGAATATTAAAAACACTTGTAAGGCAAATAGAACAACACGAACCAAGCACATACCTGATTTTCACTATTTTTCTAATTTATATTATTATCTATTTGTCGAGCTATTATTAGACAAAGACCAAATAATAGATAAGGAAAGAACATACTATATAACAAGAGTTTAATACCTACTTGGAAGTATAAAATAAATGCAGTGAAGTTGCTTCTTTTTATTTTAAATCCATTTTTTAAGCACTTTAGTACCGCTTTGTCACAGCTAATCTTATATTCTAAGCCAGGCATAATGCTAAAGAGCTTATGTTAGGTTAGATTATACATTTTGTGTGAAATTTCAAAAACAACAACCTTACATGCAAAATGCATTTTATATTTTCGTTTTTAAAAATATTAGGCACGCCGTGTGAGTTAATTTTATATTACATATTTTCAAAAATAAAAGTTATTCTTGCTTTTTATGTTTTTAACGCAAAAATAACAGTTGTTTTGCGTTTTAAAATAAAAAGCAGAGTGTAAGAGTTATTTGTGCGTGAAAAAATAAAAGGCAAATAATAATAATTATTTTTGATATATAACATATTTAATTATTTTTTGAGTTTTATTTTAAAATGCGAATGATAATAGTTAACAGGTGATTTTTATTTTTTAATAAAAACTGCTGCGATCGCAGCCATAATGTCATGGCACATACATCAAGCCATATTCTCACTTTCTGTTATTACTTATTTGCAGACTTTCATCTTTGTAAAATCACAATGAAGCAATGTTATTAACTCATCTCAACTCTGAAGATAAGAAAACTGTAACTATCATTTCTGTCCAAAAGCTGTAAAGAAGACGACTTATCTAATCTCTTTGTAGATATTTTCTGCTCGTTATTGAAATTCAAAGCAATGAAGTTTGAACTGCAAAGATCAACACTTTATAACCAAATGTTTATAATAATACTTATATTTTCTTTTTTATTCTGGATTTCATTTATTCGAAATGCTAAAACAATTCTGAGTCTCTGTTTGCAATGCTTTAAGTAGCTTTTGAATCTTGCATCTTCTGTGATTACTTTGACATTGAAATTATATTAATTAAGTGTTCTTTAAAACTGAAATCATTTTCTACACTATGTTGCTTTGGAGATTCTTAAATTTGTAAGCATTATAATAAAAACTATTCTGTTAGTTTAACTAACTAACAGAATAGTAGAAAATAAATTAAGTAAGTAAATCACATAATTGCTGAATTTTATTACACAAAATTGCAGTAAAACTAAAACTCATTAAAATCCGAACCAAGTTTGTTCACCTCACCAGCTACCATGGAGCACTTAGACAGGCTAACATCATTAAACTTTTGCACATAAGCATGCATCACTTGCTGTAAAGCTCATACAAGTGCTGGTGATGGCATTAATAAATTAAATTGATGAGCTAAGCTGATGCTTTCCCAATCAGTGCACAGATACCAAAGGAAGCTGCAGTTCAATTTATCTACCAGTCGGTTAGGTTGCATGCAATTAAAATTACGTATATAAATCCTAATGCAAATATCCTTCTGATGTATCGCAATCACGACTAATGCTGTTAACATAATTTGTACGAGTATCAATGCCAAAGTAGAGTGTACCCGACTAGGAGAGTATCTGTATTTGCTATTTGCTACGTGTTTAGTGAGCAAAAATTTTAAATTAATTTGGTTTGTGGTTTTTTATCGATATGCCTTTGAATTTATTATAAAAAGATATTTTATATGCTAAACTCTACAATCAAATTATTATAGCAAGGATAACTTTAAAACCAAATGAAACTGATTTATAAATTATTTTATGTTATAGTTGGTTAGAGTTGGTCTTATTTGAATATGAAATTACCATATAAAAAAGAAATGATTGACTTTTATGCTGTTTAAATAGTTATATTTAAAATAACGAACACTACATAAACTTCAAGAGATGAACATTTTTTAAATAATATACCACATTTGTACTTAAGCAACGTATTTTGTTAGGGACGAAATGGTGTTAGTTAAGGACTTAATGTCATATGACCAAAAATCTATTTGGAATGGAAAAAGGATGGTATTAGTAAGAAACATTTTAAGTCCGAAAAAAAAAGTTGTTTACTCAAGTAAATTTTTGGGTCGATCATATAACTGTTACAGATATCGGGAAATATCCATTCTCATTAGTCTCTGGAAAAAACTGTTGGTTTAGTTGTACGTATATAAGAATCTATTTTAGTAAGATATTATTTATGTAAAAACAACTAAAAAAAAAAGAAATTAACTATCAAACTGTTCAAATTTAAAGTGATTGAACATTATCTGATTTACGATTATTTTTGATTTATATCTCGCCTTTTAAATCAAGTTCAAAAGTTCCACAAGATAAATGCAATTGTAAATTAGTCACATAGCTTAACTCACTCCAACCTAAAGGATACAAAACCGAAATGTATCTGATAAAGAATGACAACTCAGGGTGGGTGGCTGACGAAAATTGCAAAGCAAAACGCTCTATTTTGTTTATTTTTATAAAATTTAATAAAAGATAAATGAAAATATGCGAAATTTATTTTGGTTCCATGTGCCCATCTCTACCATGAATGATGATCTTCAAACGGCCAAGGAGCTATCGCACGCTGCTCGCAAAGGGCTTCGCGGTAATTTGGCCCATTCTAGGCTTAGTGCTTGCTGCAGACGATCGACATTTTTGTATTTTTTATTAGACAAAGACCGAGAATAACCCAGACCGGGTTTATATCCGGTGAACATGGTGACCACTGTGTTGATGGAATAAATTGCAGAACGTTGTTTTTCAGGCATTCTTGGTTGACGCTTGTTTTGTGCAATGGTGCTGAGTCCTCTTGCAACGACCAATACCAACGACAGAAATGCTCATCTGCCCAGGGCCTTAGTGCTCCCTCTTGGACGTTCATATTTACCCACGGTCGATGAACACGACGGGGTTTTCGATTATTAAATATGGACTCAATCTAGATTTGCTCTCGATCTGTCAAATTTTATTGCCCAATCGAATATTTTTAGAGTAATCTAACATTATTGTAGTAGTGTTAGTTGGCATCCGACTTGTCACAGGGTTTTTCACTGGACATTACTGAGTAAAAAAAATATCTATTGAATCTAGGTATAACACATTCTATGCCATTGTGATAGTCTCAGACTTCGGTACATATTAACTGCCTATCCACTTATAACGGAATTTGGCAGCATGCCTCCAAAGGACATAATAACAATTTTAACTGTTACGCGCATATGGAACTTAACTGGGTTTGTCAAAATAATCCTCAAAGGATACAAAGACGTGGTGACACAGTTCCCCAACCCGTTTAAAATCTATCTATCTATCTATTTGACATTTAAATTTTTCATAAATATATGTATCGAATCAAATCTCCTTTAATTTGTCAAATCAAATAAAATAACTTTAATTTTCTGGGTAATCTTGCTACTTTGACAAAATATTTAGAGTGATTTAAATTAATCTCGGGTGTTAATTATTTCGCTCAAGATTTACTAATCAAAAATGAAAATTGCACTTAAAATGAATATTGATTGATGAAGTTAACCCAGAGTTACGAATCGAAAATGGCATAAGAATAAGTGTTCATCATAAACAGTTTTCATTAGTCTTGTCGCTCCCAAACGGATTCGTTACGAAAAATAATGAACTATTTTTCATCTATTTAGTACACTAAATTTCATCTTTCTAGCTGTCATAGTTTTTATTTAATATATGAAAATGTGAAAATTGACAATGGATCAACTTTGAAGAGGTTCCGGAGAGCCGATCTCTACTGGTTCAGCAAAATGTCAAGTTTTGATTAGCTAATTTCTATTTTGGGACACTGTGTAGCGTGGTCGTTCGCAGACAAAAAAGTCAGTGTTTAGGATCATCCGCTTCGGTTTGTGACTGATCAACAATTTACAATTACAAATAAAACATAGTTGTCATAAAAAAATTTTCGAAAATTCTAAAATTCTAAATGTGTATAGTAAAAATTTATTTACAATAAAACCTTTCTAAAGGAAACGCATTTCATTGCTCACAGAAATTTTGTGCTCTAAATTAAAGTTACTTAATATGCATAAGCGTAAAATATTGTGTCGTCGTAAAGCTGCTATCAAGAAAGCACAGTCCAGTAAGTTTAGTCTTAATTAAATCTAAAAAAACAACTATATGTGTTTATATATTATGTTTTATAGAAAAAGGTCGAAAAATGAAAAACGTTCCGGATCCGTTAACTATCGAACGTTCTGAATCTTCTATTAATGTAAATCAATATAAATATTTCAGAAATGTGTTTCTTGATGGTGCATAGCAAAATTCTAAATTTTTCCACTTAATACTGTAAATCACAGCCTTCAAAACATATATTATTGCAATTGTTATTGAAGGAAATTAAAAAAAAAACATTTTAATAATAATTATCTGAACAGTTAGGATGTGAATACAATAAAAACTCTATTGAACCAACCATTCAATATCTCCAGCTTGTCTCCAGTTTTCATTATGCAAAACACGTTCTTTTTGACGAGCATCTATGATCTATCGACGTTCATTTAAGACAGGTTTTACTGTGTATACACCATAAAAACATATAAATATGATAACGGATTTCTATGCACCAGAAAGCGGATCTCTTTATACTAGTATATACAAATATCGATAATATATAATACATTTTTTTGCAGCTACAATCTATTCAACGTAATACTACCAGTGCTGGAAATTTGCGTTTGATGCGCAATAACCATTCCAATTATTTTTTTAAGGGTAATGCTGTATCAATGGCTATTGCTATACACCGTCACCGTCAACATACTCACAATCCACGTCACAGGCTTTCTTGGGTGTCTTACATGTGCATTACCTTAACCATTGCTGTTTTTCTTGCCCACTTACTCTCAATGCATTTATAGCTTTATATTTGTTGTCTTTAATCCTTGTAGTAGTAAAAACGATTATATGATTTAAGATTTAGATGTAAAAATGAATGTTTTGAAAGTACGTAGTAACAAAATTAATTTGCTTTAATAAAAAAAAGTTTTTCTTTATAAAAATCATTTTGTATTTTGTATAATTGTATGATTGTATAACTGTATGATTGTTGCGTGAGTGATATGTATCTGTGGCTTTTTTTTTAAATTTAAAAATATTTGGACAAATATGTCATATATCATTGCAGACGATTTTTAATAGATTTAAGAACTTAAGTGTTGCGAAACACATATGAACCCTCTTCCGGAATTATGCACCCCTGCTTTACACCGATTGTGAGGTCGATATTATTATCTGGTGCTCTGATATGGTGAACTCTGAAGTACATAAGCCTATGCGCAATATATACAGACATTTATAAATATATTGATATTCAGATGAACACCTACTGAAACGGCTAAAAACAGGTGGATTACTTAAATACCAGCAAAAACACTAGATTCATGTGCAAATACATATTTGTTAAAAAATCTATGTTCTTTGAGTCAAAAAATCAATGCAGAATACTTTTTGATGCTTTGACAGGAGTTTATATGGTTGCAACGCATGACCGTAAACTATGTCAAATATCTCTAACAGTGACGAATGTTGGAATTTCTTGACATTTGAATCATTACTCATTTAGCAACAGCTGTTTTAGTGACGCAAGTTTTTTTATTTTTAGAACAGTAGATTAAAAGTAATTCCATGTCTTGATTGATCATTGCTTTTTAATGGGAAAAACTAGCGTGACAGCAAAATTTTAGTTTGACAAGTACCGCCTGGAGGCTGCTCCATCGAAATAAATGTTAAAATAGTGATTCGCTGTCTTTAAATGTGGCCGTACAAACTCAGAATATATTAATTAAGCTTACAAAATCGTTTTGGTAAGCCGTAAAGTAAAATTGAGGAAATTGCTGACACCTTTAAGATGTTAAATGAACGTGACGGCTTCATTTTAAATAAACATATGTCTATGAAAAACCACTTTTCGAAGTTGTTGACAGTTCACCAAAATTAACAATGGGTTCATAATTCAGAGAGTTGTTTAAAACTATGATATCAAAATAATTTTTTGGATCCACCACCTTAGAAGTTGCCGAAACAGACAGCTAGAATTGTTATGGCGTTTATATGTTGACGCGAGGGTTTTTTTTCAACGATTACCCTGAAAATGACCATTAGTCAAACCATCAATAGCGATCACCATATAACCGAACTAGTACGTTTGAAGGAGGAAATTGCCAAACAATGGCCCTATGCGAAGAAAGAAAAAAATTCTTTTTCACCAAGATAATGTGCTTCACCACAAGTCATTGAACGTGACTTTGAATTGCTTCCGTACCCCTTCGATTCGTCAGATTGAATCCACTAAAAACTCAAAAAAAATTTCCAACGAGAAAGATTTGGCTCCGATAAAAAACTCATGCCCAAAACTGTGGCATGTTTTAATGTCAAGTTTGAATCATTCTATAAGATTAGAATCGATATTTTAGAAGCGTTTGAATGATTGTATTACTCTTAAAGACGACTACGTTGCTTGATAAAGTCGAATTTTGCCAAAAAGTTGTTTTATTGGTTATGCTATAAACTTATCAGCCGACGTATGCCGGAAACCTGACATGAAAAATAAATCCTTAAACATCTCTTCATTCCTGTCCATCTCTCTCAAAAACACAACTAGAATTGAAGTCTCAGTTCAATCCTAAATTTAGGAACCTAATAATAAATTCAAATATATATAATAAAGAATATTATAAGACAACTCGAAAGATAATATAATAACTAAACTGTACAGCAATACTTAACTTTAGTAAAGCAATTAAATCTAATGTTGTGTACCAGGTTAACTTTCAAAGTAACAAGTACCATGTATTTGATAAAATTTATGTGTATACTTTTAGTAGTGCCCTAAGACCTAAACGTCAGATGTATGTAAATGGTTTCGAACTGCAAACATAATTGCAGTATTAAGAACAAAAGTGTTGTAGAAGCAGTGATTTTCCAGAGAAAACTTGCTATGGGAAGTTTTTAGTGACTTTTACTGAACCATGGACCGACCAGATTTTGAAAATGTGACATTATTATATCAAGCCTGTTATCAAAACAGAAGATATTATTCTGCTCTCAATCTTTTAATAATATAATAATTATAATAACATAATAATTCAAATGTTTTATGTTATTTTTATTTTATTTTATTTTATTTTATTTGATTTTATTTTATTTTATTTTATTTTATTTTATGTTATTTTATTTTATTTTATTTTATTTTATTTTATTTTATTATATTTTATTTTATTTTATTTTATTTTATTTTATTTTATTTTATTTTATTTTATTTTATTTTATTTTATTTTATTTATGTTATTAAAATGATCGAATTTTAAATGAATTTTTCCATAATTTGTTCTCTAAAGTACACAAAATTGAAATCTGAGCTTCATGCCAAAATTTTATATCTGAGTTAATTACAGTAAAATTAAGTGAATAAAATCACTCTCTCATAAAAGCCTTTCAAAGATGGCACTAAAGCGCATTAACGTCTCATCAGCTCGTGCTCTACGTTGGCTGGGAAACGGATACAGTACATTAGATTTGGGTGTCTTTGAACCGTAAAGGTCTAGGATCTGTAACCAAGGTTTAGCCTTAAATTGTGCGGATAAGTCTCTCCAGAAATAATAAAAGAGATCTCAGGGGTCACAGTGTACCACTGTCCCTTCTAACAATAATAAAGATATGATTTACAAATGATTGTACCTATATAAAGTTAATGATTTAAATTATAGCATTCAATAATGTTATTAAAAAAATTGTGTTTTAGGTGCTAAAGTTGGGTACAATAATCAAGTATCTGTATTTTCAGCTACATATGTTTGAAGAAATAATTTTTATATTAACTGCGAGGTTCTTCAATATCAACTACTAACGCCAGCTACTGTTGATTTTTAATAGAATATTTTTACTTAATTTTTGCGTACTATAAAATTTGTAAACTTCACTGCAATTAGATACTTTTTACGTCTTCTTTTTATCTGCAAAATACAATATTTACATTGTCATTTATGTGTTAATTTCTTTGTCGGTTACTTCGAGTTTGGCGAGGGTTCCGAGTTATCAAAAGAGTGCACCTAGTTTTTGTTATCTTAAACAAATCAAATTACTCATGGGCTTGCTAACTAATTTTGTGTAAATATTTAATTCTGATAATTACATTATTTTCTACCTAATGAAATCCACTTTTTCAAATAAATATAGTGAAAAATTATAATTAAGAAATCAGCACAAAATTATATTTTACTAGATAGCTTGAGATATTATATAAATCTTTATAATATAGAATATTAAATATCAGAGGAATTACTATAACATATAATTGCACATAGGTATAGTACACTATATTGCAATGATTAACTTAAAAACAAATTTTATTTCAATTTGTAAAAATGATAAGAAAATTTGTGCAGAGATTTTTTTACTGCTGTATAATTATTGGTTAAAGTGTCCAGCTTCTCGAATTGTCTTGATAGTGTCTTCAAGACTGCCCTAAGCAGTCTTGAGTTACAAACAACGACTCTAACTTATAATGTAACTAATATTCTCTGAATAAATTGAGGGAAACAGAAAATAAAGAAAGTAAAGATATTAGCTTTGTCTTTGATAAAGCTCAGTCGCACTTTACATAGAATTTTGAATCTATATTAAGATGTCATATATACTACATAATATATAACATTGTCATAATACATAGATTAGATTACATTTTAAACGGGTTACGAACTTATCACCACGTCACTGCATCTTTTGAGGATTATTGTGACAAACTTACTTTAGTTCCATAGAGGAGCAGCAGATAAAAACGTCATTATGTCCTCTGGAGAGATATTTTATAATTTCGTTATAAGTGAATAGGCAGATAATAAGAACAAAGTCTGAGTCAGACGAGACTATCACAGTGACACTGAATGGGTTTTGCTATTTCCTCTTCTTCGTAACAGAGTCTGCAGCTATCGTCTTTTGTAATACCTATGCTCGATAGATGTTTTTTGATAAACCTGATATACCCATTTCAAACTTTTTGTCTAAGTATAGCCATGAAAAACGACTCTTTCGTGCGTATATTTTGAATTCAACTCCAACTTAGACGGATTTCGTCTGCGAAATCTGTTGGCAATACATCTTTGAAGATATTTTACTCATTTGTTCGAATATGTTATCATAGTAATATGTTGTGTTCTCATCAGTTTTTAAACAATATGAATCAGTTTTAATCAGTGTGTGCATTCCTCATAATCCTCACTGTAGAAGTTGTGGAAACCTGCAGGAAACTAAACCATTAAAGACTTTCTCTATGAAGCCCGGCTTTGACGTCCAGAATAAATGGGTTTTTGGGAAAGTATTTTGAGAGCTTATCAAACTCTTCATTGACAAAAATGAAAGACCTAATAAATTATCTAAATTCAACGGGATGGATTTAGTGTATATATTTCTATCTTAGAATCTGTTGTGAGGAATGTGGTAGCAAAATGGCAAAAAAATTTTAATTGAAGTGCATGGAAAGTTATCTGATGACCTGCCTCTGCAACAATCATCAGTTTTCATTTTTATCTCTATGTCTTAAAAACTAATTAACTCTTATTCAACTAAATTATAAACAATTCCTCAAATTACTATAAAAAAACTGCTGTTGATACGGTGAACTGGAACGGTTTTTTATTGCGTACGGCTCCGCAGGTCTTCATTTTTTATTCTTTCAGGCCATCTTATACCAAGAATTCTGCGCAAGTACTTGTTTATGAAGGTCTGTATTTTTGATTCAGAGTTATGAAACCTTAATTCTGTTGTAAATACAGCCGTGATCTTCTAATGAATATAGCCGTCTGTAGCCAACAATTTTTTTATTTTTGTCATTATTTAAAACAACTTAAACTCTCTTGAGCAAGCATCACTCTTAAAGAACCAAAAGTTGACTGGATATGTCTGGATATGTCAACTTCAAGAGATAAATAGAATCTCTTGAAGTTGATTTCTACTATTTTGATAGGTATTGGCCTAAAGAAAATGGGCACGATCGAAATCGTTATCAACTTTTGAGAATAATACTAGTCTTAATACTAGAGTTAGTAAACAATCTATACAATTATAATTAAAAGTAATAATAATTTTTTTTTAATTCTACCTTTGAAACCGGTTAAATCTTTTTAGTTTTAATATTAATTTTAAGACCATAAAAACTTCATTATTTTTATGACAGTTTTAAATTTAAAACTAACTTTCTTTTTGTGATTATTCTAAATTAAGGAAGAGCTTTTAATATAATTTTCAATATATTTAATTTCAGCAATCGCTGGTCTTAGGACGCATGCCAATAGTTGATATGCCAGGACTATTTAAACGTGGTATTCTTTGGCAACAACGAGATCGATTATTTTCACGCTGGAAGGAGAGGTAAATAAAAATTTTTTAATGAAAATAATATTTTAAAAGCAATATATTTGTTTGTAAAATATTTATTAAATCCTAATCATCAAACGCTCAATAGTACTAGATTTGCTGAACAATCTTCTTTCAGTCATTTTTTCTTATAATTTTGTTTATTTGGTTTGAAAATATCAATTATTAAATGTTACCAAAAGCAAATAAATATATTTATGTATGATACTATGTTCATTAAAATATGAAAAATTTAATAAAAGTATTATAAACATCACTGTATATATATAATATATAGTTCACTATGCCAGTCAATTATAATTCTCATTAGGTATATTTTTCTGCTTTTTATTTCGTTACGTAGCAGTGTTGATTGATTTTCATATATAGATAGATTATTAAAAAACAGTTTAACTTATGAATGCAGAGCATTTATACCTTCCTATTAAACTAGTCTAAATATTTTTTGATGTGCTTGTCTTTCAAAAGAATTCAAATATCACACTAATACATTGTGATCAAAAAATAACTTAAACGTTCTTTTTTTGAATTCCCGCGCTTATCGAATCGGTAAATTTTTTTTGTTATCACGCTGGCAACACTATTACACACAATTTGTCTAAGTTTACTGCATATCGTACTATTAGTTTTTGTTTGGCGTCTATGGTGCTTCGAAGGTGAGCAGAAACCGAAAAGAGAACGCCAAAGTCGTTCCAAAATCAAGGTTATGCTGACTGTTTTCTTCGATATTCGTGGTGTGGTGCTATGAATTTGTTCCGGACGGTCAAATGGTCAATAAGGAGTATTATTTGGCCGTTATGCGTCATTTGCGTGAGACCATTCGCAAAAAGAGGCCAGATTTATGGAAGGAAAACTCATGGATTTTACACAACAATAACGCACCGGCTCACACAGTATTGGTTGTGTCGCAGATTCTGGCCAAAAACTCCACCAATATCATCAACCAAGCACCGTATTCTCCAGATATGGCCCCTTGTAACTTTTTCCTCTTCCCCCGACTCAAATTGCCATTGCGAGGAACGTGTTTTGAGACCATAGAGGCCATAAAAGAGAATTCGCTGCGTGAACTAAAGGCCATACATTCGGCGACCTATAAAACTTGTATGAAAAATTGAATCAAGCGTTGAGTACGTCAAGAGTACTTTAAAGGCGAAAATAAAGAAAATTATTAAAAATTAAGTTTTTTTTTAACTTCTCGTTCTTTTTTGATCAAATGATATACCACATGCTCTTTATGATTTTAAACTTGTAGCTGTTTTTGTCTGATATTTTATTTTCTGGTACAGATCAATTACTGTTTACTTAATAACTTTCTTACCAGCAGTGTTATATCATCCGGTTACCTAACTACTTCACTCAAATATTTATTAGCATGCATTGAGAACTTATCTATTTTTGATAGCAGATAGTTCAGAATAAACTTAAAAACTGCGTACAGCCGAAAGTGAATTTTAGTTTACTGAGACCGGTTTTTGGAAATTCCCTATATCTCTAAAGCGGTTTGCATTTGCTTATGGTTAAAGCTTTTAAAAGCCTGCTTAAAATCCTTGAACATATTGTAGAAACTGTGTCTGAACGTGGTACATTACAAATATTTGATCCATTGTGCCTCTGACTCTCTAAAATACGTATTAGGATTCGTTTTATCTCTCTTTAGCTACTTTTTTAATTCTCTGTCGGAGTATATTTACTAATATATTATAAGCTGTGCACAGTAACGTTAGTAGTAGTACCAACTGACTCTATTTATTTTCTTATATGTATGTAGGATAAGTATTTCCAATATTTTAGTTATCAAACACTTATTCTATTCTCCATATTTCACATAAAACTTTATGTAAAACGTGAAAAAGATTTTAAATAATTATATTTATTTTTCATGCATTCTTGCGTGACATCCATCCGTTTTTTAAGTTTTTGACAACTTGATTAATTTTGACTACTCTATTTAATTTGAGGTTATTTATATTCTAACTAATCACTCTGCCGAGAAAATCTTGGTTAAAAAGGAACATAAATGCACTTGCTATCATAAGAATACACTATCTAATCTTAGAGTAATCACTCTCCGCACGGGGAGGTATGCAGATCTTACATCAATCAATGAATAATCATGAAGCTTATAACGAATACATAAATTAGTCAATGAGATGGGTGGGACCCTGTAGTACCCCCAGCTATCAAAGAGTAAAAGTGCCCAATTGCGCTGACTCAAAAAAAAAAAGAACCAACATACATAAGAATGCCATCGATATATTTACTATACATGTTCAATCAGGGTAGAAGTCCTTTCCTTTCGTTGACGATTACTCGGAAAAATTATTTAGCTTTATTTTAAATGCCTACCTTCTCTGTAGTATAACTTTTCGCTTAATAATTATTAATAATAATTAGCGTTAGATAATCTGTGCTTTTTTTTTTTTGTTTTGGCTCCACAATTATTGTTGTTACTCGCAGGAACCTGTTTATACAGTCTCTTTGGTGGGTGTTTAATGGCACTTTTTCGTCGAGATTGACAAGTGGCTTCTAGATGTAGAATAGACCGTTCTTGGAACTCCACAACTCCAACTATTTATTTATTTATTTAATAAGTAAACAGATTTTTTTGTTTTTGATAGATAAGCTAATTTTAATTTTTGTAAGGTTTTAATTTTTTTTTTTCACTAAAATTTTACGTTCACATTAAATATGACATATATTTTTTTATTATTTTAGATATTTTGTGCTCACACGTGACTACCTCAATTGCTTTAAAAAGGCCACTGGAAATAACCGCCTTTCTGATATGGGAAAATTTATTTTTAAGGTACATGCATATTATTTTACACACTATCATATTATATTATTATACTCAAAAATAGTTTTTAAACACAAGTTTTTTATATTTATGGCAAGATAGTTAGAATATCAAAAATGTATTGTTCACTGCCATTATAATATAACATATATTCAGTTGAAGTAGTTTATAATCCTTGTTTCGTACATTTTTCTATATCCCTAAGGATTTATTACTTTTACAAACGGAAGTAATTCTTGAATTTCTAACATAGGAATTTCATATATTTCGGATTTTTTTTTGTTTGCGGCAAGGATGAGTGCATTGCCTACGCTTTGACCACAATCCGGCGCCCCGGAAAGCCGGAAAGTGTGTGCCCGACTCGCACTATATTTCGGGATTAATAACTAATATAAATAGAACATGAACTTTTGCGTTATACCATATAAAATATAGCATATATATATAATTTTGGTTATCTGGTCAATGGCAATTAATAAGTACTGCCAGAGTCTATGATACTATATTTTACAATATATGTATATATGTATATCATTCATGTGAGCAATGGGAGTACAAATTTATATATGTTTAAAAGATGTTTTTAATGTTAGGAAAATGCAATAAAATTATTTTTCTATTTTATATGAAAAATGGAAAATCTGCATTTTATTTCATTATGTATTCTGTTACTTTAGTTCCTGTATGCCAGAGATGTTGTTAAGCATCAATTATTAAGGTAGTAAGAAGAAGAATTGATTATTTGTTTTAAGCACATTTAGATATATATACAAATAATTTTAGTTATTTATTTCATTTTTGCAAATTGTATCTCTAGCCAATTATTATTTTTTTAAGTAAATTTTTATATTCATATAAAAGCTTTTATTCATAATCTAGCAGAGGGATCAATGCGATTTAAGTGGAAAAAAATATTAGTTATTTGCACTTTATTTTGAGATTCAAACTAAAAATATCGTTAAAATAGGCAGCTAATAATATTCATTATATTAATAAATAAACTTTATTAAAAAGAAAAGTCAAAATATTTTTAAAAATCATTTATTAAAAATTACGCAAGCAAAATTACTAATCGCAAAGTAATCTGTGCTGTAAAAGCAAAAGTGTTTACAAAAAAAAGATACTTTAAACAAATTAATGCAGATATTACAAATTTTTATTAATTAAGATTAAAATTCTTAAAAAATTTTTTAAAAATCTTAATAAGCAAACAAACTCAGCAAAATTTGAAACTGTGATTTATTCGCGAATCAGCAAAAAAAAGCATTTTTGTATCTCAATCTTTGTTTATACGAGTATATATCTCTTATGTCTAATAACATATCTGAATTGGTTTACTCAAATTACTACACTTTTCCTTCTGTTTTCTTTTTATTTATTTATTTACTTTATAAATGTTGTTTTATTTGCTTTCGTTCTCCTATTATTGCTGATGTCCATAAGGTAGCGCCTTAAGCCCTTTTTTTTACGTTCCCTTTACATCATTCACATATACTTCCCTACGTTCTCCTATTATTGCTGATGTCCACAAGGTAGAGCCTTAAGCCCTTTTCCTTACGTTCCCTTTACATCATTCAGTTCTACAAAAATTCGCAGTCTTACTTCTACAATTACTAACGACAATGCTGTTTTATATTGTCACAAAAATGTTTCAAAATCTTCAGCGTAAAGATAGCTTATCTCAATTGAAAACATAGCTAATCCATTGGTATATTAAAATTAAATAACGAAATAATGCTATGTCATTTTTTCTACTCCCCGAAGCTCCCCGATAATTACTCTTAATAGCATACTAATACCACAAGCAGATATTGTCACATATCTAGGCATTCGCTTGAATACTTGACGACTAAGCTAGACACTTAGCAACTAATTTTCTTTATGTTTGAAGTTTTTGTATGTAAGAGTATCATTAAATTAATTTAAACATATAGTTTCGAAGTTGATGAAGTTCACCAATCGATGTTATTCGTAACATATTGTATAAATAAATTCTTATACCTTAGATCTTAGGACTTTTTTCTGTGAGGTGTCTCTTCGTTCAACATCCGTGTTTTTGCCCAGGTCTGGCCAGAACTAGGTTTAAGTTTCTAGGGGCCCCTTTCTTCAACTCACTTAGCGATATCTCCAGTATCAGCATTAGCCAGATTCTTGCCTTTGTTAATGCCTCTGATTGGTTCTAGTTTGACCCTCTATCTACTACCCACTATTACGAGGTTTTTGTGGATTCAAAACGGCTTTCATCCTTAGCTATTTAAGGAGGATTCGTCCTCTCTCCACCACAACAACATATGCCAAAAATACATCGAAACTTTTTCCAAAATGGTCCAGTACCATAATATGTTCCATAGAAATCATTTGATTAAAAATTTTGTGCCTACTGGGAAGGTCTAAAAAATATACGAGTATTAGAATAAAAATTTTCCTAATCTCAAGTTTGTTTGATTCACATTTACTTTTAAAACCACAAAATGCATAGCCCTGCGTATATATATTATACAATTATTAAGTTATAAATTTTTAAATATAAAAGTAAAAATTATTCCGAGCCATCATAAAAGTATTTAGTTTTTTTTTATTTTTAAATTAAAACTAAAGAAATTCTTTATTTACTTTATTATTCTTTATTAAATTGTAACGCCTTGTATTCAATTTTATTGGTTCGATATATTTCCTATTAACTCGATGAAAGCCTATATAGTGAATATCATGCTGCCTCTGAACAAGCGTTAGAATAATTGATTTCAATGAAAGTTTATTAATTACTAATTTGTTTATTTAATTTAATTGTAAATAAAAAACTAAAATATATATTTGAAATAAATAAAATTTCAACTTCTAAAACATATTTTTTAACTAAAAATAAAAACTACGTAATTACGTACTTTTAAGCAATCTGTCGTCGGTCAACTTTATCAAGGTTTATAGTTGCAAATAAAGTATAAATACATTTTATTGATCATCAGAACAATTAAAAAAATTTAATTTTTAATTTTATTAAATAATTAAGTTTTTATTAATTTTTTTTGTTTTATATTTTCAAGTACCTGAAGAGAAACTTTCAAGTGCCTTAACCAAAAAAAATTTTCTGAATAACTATTTTGCTTAACAAAACAACTTTATTAAATGAAGTTTATATCCCCTTATAAAAATTATATTCTACAATTTTTTTATATATAATATTTATTAAAGCATAAAAATAAAATTGCTTAAAATTTGCTTAAAGAAAGATATGCATTGAGGCCTTATAAAGACGCGTCTCAAGTATTTATTCGACAACTTTATTGACAAAAACGCAACACAAAAAACTTTTCTGTGAATTAATTTAATACAATATCTTATATACAAGTTTTATATACAATTATACATATTCATTTTATATACAAATTCATATAAATTTTTAAGTTTCATAAACATGTTTAAGCGCTGCACTTATATCTTTAGAATGTTATTTATTTTAAAGCAAGATCAAAGTTTGTTTATGGATAATATTTTGCTCTGAGGCTCGAGAAACTGAAACCACATTCAAAATAAACCGATGCGCTATATAGACACAATAATAAAATTTTTTTTCTGTAATTCAAACTGAGTATATACCATATAGAGAAGCATATCAACGATTTATACATAGGTACAATAAAGTTTTAAAATATAAGATTAAACATTGGCAGATACTTTTATATCGAAGGATAGAATAAAAACTCTGCCGTTATAGACTGAGGACAGTTACTATAATTTCTATTTACTAGGATTCTACAGATGACCCAAACAGGTGACTGATTGACTTTTTATCGTAAAATAATCGAAGAGATTAATTCTAAAACTTTTTAATTGCGATCAGTAAACCGAGCCTCACTTAATGTAAATTTCTGGGTGTGGGCCTGATTTAATTTTTTAAGTGTACCGGAGTGGTATAGTTGTAAGATAACTTATTATGTATTATATTATTACAAATATACCATGTGTTTTCTGAAAAGTGAAAAGATAAATTTTAAACAGTCGGGGTTGGAATTGAAACCTCAAAACAGATTAAAATCTCATGACATTTTTTTAAACCAAATGTTATGAAAGCATATTAGTGACTTCAATAGATTAGCGTCTCAACAAATCGGCTATTTCTAAATAGTTCTCTTTATATTGGGGTCTACATTTGATAAGTACGTGTCAAAAGATAGTTTATTGTAAAATTTATTAGAAGTTTAGAGCTTTTAATAGAAGTTTAGAGTTCCTCTTTTACAAGGCAATCTAAGCAAAAGTAGTAGAAATCTGCTGGTTGATATATGTACAATTCTACCTAAATTTAATTGATTATTGCGATGTAATTGTCCCATAAGGCTTCTTCTTTGACAAGACAGCTGACTGAAAGTATTGGGGACCTAAAATTTCCGATTGTTTTCAAGCAGTTTTTACCTAAATGTGACAAGAGTTTTCTTGGCACAAAGCTCTGCTATTTTTATAAGTATTAAACAAGAATTGGTCAATTATTGAATAGAACTGCTCTTATATTAACAAAAAAAACTGAAATTAATAGATGTATGTAAGGTCAATTGAAGTATTCGGAATAGAATTTGTCTTTTTGAAATAGAACTTTAATTATAAGAAATAAATATTTTAAATAGAATAGAAAAAAATAAAATATTGCCTACTAACATTTGGTATTTCCTTGCAGATAAAGCTGGTAGACATCGAAAAAGTTGAATGGTTAAATCGTCGCTCCTACAGTATTGTTAGATTATTCTTAGGCCGTGAGGGCTCTGTTTTATTGCGTTGTAACAATGGACTAGAGGAATGGTTCGAGCTTTTGAATGTAAGTAGCTGAAAATATTTTTCTGTTCATGTATACAATTTTAAAATATTTACTAAATGTAATACTTTTTTTATGCAGGAAAGCACAATTGCTTCAAAACAACGTCGACACGCACTGAAGCTATCACAGAGTCCACGCTCACGTGCCTCTCTTGCAGTGCCCATATCACATGCTACATTAGAGAAGCAACATTGTATATTGGGTGGTGACTACACTAGTGCTGTAGAAGATTGGCGTAATGCATTAAATGAGTGTTATAATTTTGGCGGCAAATTGCATAATACTGGTACAATTTCGAATAGACCCATGCTCTTCTCTGATTCTGTGCCGGATTTAAATATGCTGAAAAGTGAACAACTCTCTTATATGCGAACTACAAATTTTAAGAATCAAATGACAGCACAAAAAAATATTATGTCTTCTGCAGTTGTTGATAAAATCATCAATAGTGAAAACGATACAAAAACACCTACTGGTACACGTAAATTTGTGCCCGTTCAAATGTGTGATGAGGACTCAGATCCTGAACTTGAAAACGTTCAGTTGCGTCGGCCTCAGTTGCAACACTACAGTAGCACTCAAAATGGTTACAAATTGGATGAGAACTGGCAGTATTGTAAGCCAATGGCACCAACAGAAAATAGACATTCAGGTAAACTGAACTTTTTAATTATTATTTATGAAATTTTAAATAAATTAATGTCATGTTTTGATTATTAGCACATCCCATACTGCCAGTTAACAATAATCGCAAACACACATTTGTTATCAAATCTGACCTGTACGATAGTGGATTTGAGACCCCAACCGGAAGTACGAAACGCCCTTCCAGCTATAGAGAGCTAACACATGTAACTTCATGTCCACGAAATTCGAACAAATTTATGCAAGCCTCGCAGTATCAAGCTTCCAAAGATTCTTTGCGTCGTAGTTTACAACATCCGATTCCAACAGGCGAAACCCATAAGATACTACAAGAGCACTTCTTTAAAACTCACAATGATACACTTCATTGCACGAATATGAGCAAGATTAATCATTCCAATTGCAGCGATAACAATGAGTCAACAGCTTTGCATCATAATGAGGCAATCACCAAATCGACCTCTTCAAGCCGCAGAGCCTCAATGAAATCTGCTTTGAGCCGTCTATTGCCGCTCTGAACAATTGAAGTTAACCCTCTAAGGGCTTCAAGACAACTGTTATATTACTATTATTTATTTTATTCATTATTTAAAAATGTTATATGCTATATGTGAACTAGACATATTGGTTAATATTAAAAGTTCTTACACGAAATATACAGCACAAATTTCTTTGCGCTCTGATAATTAAGAAATTTAAAAAATTCACAATTGTCTAATAGACAAACAATTTCAAACATATATATATATATATTGTGGAGAAAAAATAATTTATGCTATATAAGAAAGCCGATATAAAAGTCAATGTTAGTCATGTATGTATGTAATGAACTGTTCTAAAAAATTCTCGGCCTAAAGTATATTTAAGTCTTGCCAAATTTATTGTAGAATATAAACTTGCATATCTTATAATATAATCTTGTTTAAATTCGATAAAAAAATTAAATAAAAACGTACAAACAAATAATAATTACTTTCAGATTAATTTTTTCTTGCCGAGAGTGACGCGTTTTTATGACGAAAAGAAACTATGTAAAAGTTGGACGGATACGAATAGCTAGAGAAAGACAAAGGCAAAAATTTTATTTAATTTATTGAAATTTTATTCGAGTATTGTCAAGTCCTCATCAGCAGTGGTGTTATGAATTATTCGAATTTCTTAATTCGAATGGTCAGTCAAATTTCAATAAATCAATTAAAATTTTTGTCCTTGCTTTTTTTTGCTCTTCGAATCCGTCTAATAATTACTTTGTCTAAGCTCTGAATTTTCAAAATGTAACGAATTACCATAATCATCAAAAAAGATATTATCTTAACGATACAAATCAAAACAGTCTCCCTAAACTGAGGTAATTTGTTATTGTAATCCGTTTAAGCGACACCTGCAATCATGACTGGCTCTGAGACGTATACCCGCTTGTTCTGAGAAGACTTTTGACAGTTATTTATCTATATTGACTAACTTAAGTCAATCAGTCAAAATATTGCAGATGTGATATATTAAGAAGGTAGTAAAAAGTGGTATGATACCACATTTCTGACCTATCTTCAAACATAGCAAGAATACAATTTTTAATTCGCTGACATATTGACATAATAATTGCAATAGTTAAATTTCTTTCAAGTCCAGTCACAAATTTTTTATGTCATTCCCTCATTCTCTTCCAGATTTTCCTATGCACATTATGCGTCAATGATTCCATCTTTTTTGACTCGATTAAAATGCATTATTGCAAATATGTTAGTAGCTCTACCTCATCAGATTCAAACCACATACGTGGTTGGCAGTGGCATTAGCACACCAGAAACTACTCACTGGCATTACTAATTCTACTTCTTCTAAATCCATTCACTGCTATTATATACCATTTATAAAGATGTGCGAAATTACCGCTATAGTAGAAATCTCAACTGAACTGTTTATACCATTTTACAGAAGTATTTGGTAATGTAAACATAATTAATTACTGGAATTAAACAAAAGCCATAAAAACAAATATTTTAACATAATACAAATAAATTTCTGTGTCAATTTATAACTATAGATAGGATGTGTTTATACCCCTTACGGTTCAAAAAGATCAAGCAGTGGTAATTATCGTTTTTATCTCCTGACAAAAACACTCTGATAATGTACAGACAGTTCTTTTAATAAGAAAGATTTTGAATTTCGTTCCATGAAATGCAGATGTCATACGAGTATATATATTTGACTAACTCGATATGGTCAAACAATAACAAAACAAAATATTAAAGTAAGTAACTACATACTCAAAGGACTGGGAACATTTATATGACGTGGGATACTGTTAAATAGGAGCAACGCATTTAGAGAAAATTACATTTCATGCTTCAATATAGTCTCCTTTCAGCTTGACACACCGATGAGCTGTCCCACGATCTTTCAACATTTGGATACCTTTGAAATAATACGATTTATCAAGTCCTTTAAAATATACCTCAGTTTCCCATTCCAACTTATCATGTGATGCGAATGCTTTTTCCTGGAGCCATCTTTTCATATTTGCAAACAGGTAATAGCCACTGGGAGCCAAATCTAGACAATAGGATGGGTAAGGAAGCAATTCGTACCTTAAATCATTTAATTTTGCCATGGTTTTCATTGACGTGTGAACGGGTGTGTTATCCTGCAAAAACAAAATTTTTTTTATTAAACAAATGTGGTTCTTTTCTCTTAATTCAATCAATCCAATAATATGCAATAATACAATAGTAGTCTGTTGCTATTGTTTTTCATTTTTTCCCAAATATTCTAGGAAAATTATTGCACTTCAATTCCAAAATAAGGAAGCCAAAACTTTTCCAGATTGTTTTTCATTTTTTCTCAAATAGTCAATGAAAATTATTCCACTTCAATTCCAAAATACGGAAGCCAAAACTTTTCCAGATTGTTGAATTCGTAATCGTTTGGAAGCACTACCCCCGGGCTCAACTCATTCTTTGGTTTGAAGTAAGTGTGAAGTAATGGGTCCATATCTCATCAATTGTCACTTCTTGATGTTCACAGTCAACTCGATTGTGCATAAATATTTCAAAATAATGTTTTGAAGAATGAAGTCGTTGTCGTTCTTGATCAATGGCGAGCGAAACGCGGCACTTATACCCATCCTGCCGAAAGCTTTTTCATACCCAAATATTCATGTAAATCATTCGATACACGTTCATAAGATATGTTTGTCATATTTGCTATCTGCTAACTCATGCAATTAAATTTTTGGATTATTCAACACAATATCGTGGAGTTTTTGAACGTTTTTTTAAGTTGTGACCTCTTTTGGACGACCCGGAAGCACACGAACGTCTATGTCTCAATTCAGCGTTCCGATATTTTTTACTGAACGATATTCAATTTTTTCCATTTTATAAAAAATCACCAATGAATTAGGTGCACTATTGAAGTCAGGTAATTATCAATCCACCTAGGTGAAGTTAATAAAGACCGTAGACGGCTAAAAGTCAAAGGCGTTTAGATTTATCTGAAGAAGAACATGTAATAAGATTCATAAAAGCGTGACGTATCCGATGGGCAGTTCAGGTCCTAAGAATTGAAAAAAGGCGCCCGCAAAGACAGATATTCTTGTATGTGGCAGTGATTAACATGCGTATGGCGTATAGAAGGCCCAAACAAAGGTGACTAGATTGTGTAGTACAAGACATATGAAAAATGAAAGTGACGAACTGGCAACAAGTGGCAACAGACACAGGTTAGTATGGAGAGACAGCTCTAATCCTGCAAAAACTAAATTGGCGCTATAAAAACCATTTTGCGGATTAAACAATCCATTATAATTATGATTAGAGATGTCAAGCCATTTGATGATGTTCACTATTTTAATGTGGAGCCATAACTACGATATTTCATAGTAAAGGCATACCTCTTATTAAGTTTTTATGCGATTTCATAATGTATAAAAACTATATTTGTTATTTTTTTTTTTAATAATTATTGGCATACAAAAAATGGTGCATATTATTAACATTATTATTCATATAAATTCATCAATATGGTAATTAATCTTCTATTAAGTTACAGAAGGTTCACTTTTCATAAACAAGTTAAAAAACAGGTTATAAATATTGCTACCGTTTAACAAGACTTTAACTTCTTATTCGGACAGAAGTGCTTTATCAAAAAACTATATATAACTATATTTTTATAAATCAAGACACCTTGTAAATTTTTATTTGATTTCAACAGCCAAAGTGCAGTTTATACACCTGGTTTTTGTATTATATAGATCTATAGCGTGGTTTCTGTACTTGAACGGAATTATAAACAAAGAGGCTATATTTGATTTGAAAGTTATTTATTGTGTTCTGTTTATATCCTTAATCAGGAAACTAGAAACTTCTTCTGGAAAAATAATTTTCCTACAAAAATTTTCCAAATTTTGTATTGTCAATATATTTGAATAGTAATCCAGCTTACTGTGATTATTGCGAATATCGACGGCTACAGATCTATGCAAATTAATAAATTAAGACTTTATAATTTATTTTAGTGGAAATTTAACTAACTTTGCAGTCCAATTTCATATGTAATTCAAATCCACAACTGCATAACGAAAATCGAGGCGATGTACTGGGTTAATCGAGCTCTTATTACGATTTTTGTTCAGAGCAGGCAACCACATTTCAATGAAAACCTCAACGTTGCTGCCTTCGACACGTAAAACAATTACACTAATCATGTTGCGAATTCAACGAATTGCAGTGCAATCACACAAAAGCATTTAAATTTTAAATAAAGCAAATAATCGAAATGAAAGAAAGTCTGTGTAATCAGCGACGAAAGCGGCATTTGCCATTCTTAGCATAAATATTTGCAGCGCATACTGCAGTCACAACCATCTAGGTATCCAGGCATTAAGGGATGTAGTGCTGCGAGCTCGGAGTTTGGCCACAATTAGTTGTGGTCAAAACAGCTCCCAGCGAATTGCTGAATCCTGTGCCATTGACTTACGTATTTACAAATGAATTTTGATTTACTGTGTGTTACACGGCCCGAATTCATTCGCTACTAACCTAATCGTCCTTTGTCACTGTAATCGCAGTGGTTTGAAAATCAAAATGGCAAATATATTGCAAAATCCATTTCAAATTTAAATAATTTCATTTGAAGTCGTTTAGAGCAAATTTTTACGGAATCGAATTTATTTTATTTTTGTTGCCGGCTAACAAATGCAGTTTTTAGTGTTTATATTAGAAAAATGTATGCAGAATCCTGGCTGCGCATATTCATGATTGAAGCTTCCATTGCACACAAATTTTTGAAAGCACTATATTCAGGACTGCATGTGTCACTGGCGCTAGTGCTTCACAATTTATTCCCGTCACGTTTAGCTACTTGAGCGTCCCGTGAACAGGATGTACAGGTATGCATAACGAATTATCCAAGTGTTTATGTGGCTTGAATGATTCAGAATAAAATATTGAGCAATAACTCTGGAATAAAATAAAAAAAAGCAAGTAAATGCCTCCTTCTCTCTCCACCTCCCTCTCGCATCAGAGAGATGATTTTAGAACAACCTGTAAAAATAATTTAATGAAAAAATGTTTGGTGATTTGTAAAATAAATTGCAAAACCAACATTTTTTCTCGCTTCCAAAAACCCTCTCATAAATCTGAATATTGATCCTATCTTTTTTAACACATTTTGTCACTGTTTCTAATATCCAAACTGTATTCAGTAGGAACTTTATATCTTTAATCTGAATTCCAGATCATAAGAAACACGACGACAATGAAAAGAGCTTGTCTGGCTTGAAAAGACGCAGGTAATCTCTTTATGAAACTAAAATCGGTGTTAGTAATAGTTTCAAAAACATCTTAATTGATCAAAGTTAGAAGCAGAGCTTTACTGACTTTTGGAAAGCCGAAAAAAAGAACGCAACAAACAAAAAGGCTTTTCAATCCTAAACGAATTAAGATGAAAACTATTTTAAGCTTCAGAAGAAAATCTATAAAAATTACTATTCAACTTAAGACAGATCACTGTAAACTTAAAAACCATCCAAAATAATAGATTCAGGTTCCTGTAGACTTTTATTAGAATCAGCAGTTGTTAGAATTTTAAATAGTTTAAAACTATGATGTAAGTCAACATAGTTTTTTTTTTTGTTTTTTTTTTTTGTGTGGTGGGGAGTAGAGAAATATCTTCGCAATAACCACGTAGACGCCCCGGAAAATGAATGCTCGACTCGCACGAACTAAACCTTGTTCTGACCCCGGGATTACGTCGGAGGAGGATCCCTATTAGTCATTTAAGACTTCCATCGGTGTGAGCTACATTTAGACCTCGCTGCTACTTCAGACGGCTAGCTTTGTACTTCGTCTTGATGTAGTACCTCTGCTTGTTCCAGCTGCCTTTTGACAAGATATATTTCTTTCAGGCGCAGAATTTTTGCAGCCAACATTGCTATACGATTTCAATTTGTTTTGTTTTCGATAATTATTTCTTTCACCATTCTTTGGAGGAAGAAAGAACCTTGCGCCGCTAGAACTTCTTGTTCGCATACCCACTTATTGCACTTGCACTTCATGAATGTGTGCTCTGTGGTATCATCTTCAGCTTCACAATATATACAATTCGATGACTCTACTTTGCACATGCGGTAAAGGTGACTTTGGAAATATCCAGAACCAGATAGTAACTGAGCGAGGTAGTAGTTAATCTCTCCGGAGTCCCTTGCTAGTCAGATTTGAACTCTAGTATGAACAATACGGCCCATCTGAGTTTCAACGTTGTTGCTTACCTGTGGATATTATTATTCCCTATGCGCTTTACTTGGCAATATGACTTCCGCTCTTAAACGTTCAGATTAATGGGAATGGTGCCATTAACCACCAGCACCTCTGCTTCAGAAACGTTACGGTGCGTTAAATATATCCTCAAAGCTGCAATATTATGCTTTTAGTGCACATGAGCATGTCTTACTATTGTTGGTTTCCAGCCACATACTCACATAGCTACATGCATGTGTTTCCTCCAGCCCCGTTTCTTCCGTAGTGAATTTGAGTCAGTGATCAAGCTTGCGTTCGTATAAGTCATTGTACGAGCAGACGAAATAATAATAATACTAAAATAATAATACTAATAATACTAAAATTATTTTTAATCTATGAAAAGAAGTATATTTCGAATAGGAAGTGAAGTAATCGTAACGAAATTTTTAAATCCGAAAAATTTTAATTTTAATCTAATTTTTTAATCACACTTAATTTAAAACAACAACAAACACCAAAGCGACAAACCTAGACATTAAAACTGAATACATCTTGTTAAATTTAAATGTTTTAAAAAAAGGTTTAACCGATATCAGCCTAGAAAATACTTCACTAAAACTTCTTTATTCCAGTTTCTTATGGAGGCTAAAGCTAGGTAGTCACAAAAAATATGCTTGAGGCTATGGGGATCCTTGGAATGAAATATTTCATTAGCTTTTTCTGAAATCATTTTTACATCAATAGAGTGTTGCATATAATAGTTCGGCGATACATTATCAGGACTATACGGAAAAGTGACTGTGATTGAATATGAGAGAGTAAAGAAATGCATATATATGCTTATGTTATTGTTGTTATACTATCCCGAGGAAATCTATGTTGCAGAAGACAATAAACACGTTTCTGCTTGGTGGTCTCTGTTGGTAGTGGTAAACCGCCCTTTATCGTTGACGAGTACTCCAAACTCCAAACCGTATACTCGAACGCTTCTGGAACCTGTCAGAATGGAAAACAAGTTAACCTATTACTTATATATACTAGTTCAGATCATCCAACTGTTGTATTGTCTCATGATAAGCACATATCCATATCTATAAATTGACATAGATTTGTTTTTATTTTCTTAGTCATTATTGTGATAGAACTCTGTACTCCTATCGACTAAGGTGTACTTACCTTCTTCATTATATTAATGCCCCTATTCACAATTTTATTTCCCACCATTCTAACTTCTCGAACAATGCACGATATGTGTATTTTCTCCTTGTTGGGCTATGCAAATAGTTGTAACATAATTGGACTTCTTTCTTCGGAATTACTTTAAAAGAATAGTTGAATAAATAAAACGAAATGTTTTATTTACATTTGAAATTCGGACTAAAAACTTTGATAATACGTGGCTTTGATGATTTCATTGATATAGATTTATCTTTAAGTTCACATGCTAATTAATTACCCAGTTTTATCTCTCTTTCGTGCAGTTATTGTTGCACTTTCCCTTTCTTATTTTATAAATGTCTACCATAACATATATGATGGAATATTCATTATAATATGTTACGTATAGATAATATAATAGTATTTTACCGCGTTTTATGCCGATTTTTTATAATGAAATCATTTTTATAGTTCTAGAATAGAAGTAATATAAAAGTAATATGTGTATAAATAAAATTCGAAAACAATTTTTAATTTTTAACAGACCATATCATAATAACTGAAAGTACCTCCAGCATAGAGAAAAGATAACTGAATTTTAAATTAATGAACATTCATTGTTCAGCTCTTGAACGCATATTGGGCGTTCTATCTAGTTAATACTATCAATTTAATTCTATCAATTTAATGAAACAATACATTTCATTTGTATTTCTAATAGGCTTTATCTGGCATGTTATAAAAACAAAAAGATATATAAATTGAAAGATTTTGAATGCATATTAAGCATTCATATTAAGAATTGTTTATAAGCCAAAGTTTTTCGCTAATGTTCTAGAAAAATGGGGTTAGCCAAATTTGTTTTGTATTAGTTACTGTTTCAAATACTGCTTCTCTTTCCTTTTTACATTAACCATAAACTATCTTAAAAAGAATTGCACATCTCAGCAATTTGAGAGCATAATGTATTGATACATTCATCCATCAACTTCCTTTGATTCTCCAGATTTGCACTTTTCTCTTGCACCAAACACAAACTTTTGCAACTTTTTTTTAAATCAGTTTTGACTTCCGCATAAGTCAAATAACTGATCATTTCAGATGGAGCTTGAACGATGACATCCATGTCAGATTCCTTGCTGACAACGTCACAATGGATGTCGTTATGAATACAGTGCATGCTTTCCTGGGCAGCATACTTCTTTATGTTCTCATACATTTCTTTCTCAACAGTCATGAGTTTGTAAAGTACAACATCGATGGTGTCTTGGCGGGAACTAGCCAGTTTCTCCATAACATTTTTGCTTAGTTTCATTTGAAGTTTGACTAACATATTTTTATTGATTGTTTCCCAATTATACAGTTTCGATTTAAAACCATTTCTACGTGGATAATTATTTAGCTCCACATGATCAGGTAAGATACGTTTTAAGATTTGTCCCATTAAGAAACCATCCGAAAAATCGCGGTGCAATCTATTAGAAGTGATATTGTGACGATCTTTTAACCACTGTATCATAACAGTGTGCTTATCGTTATCCAATTGTGGATGACTTTTTTCATTGTTTTCATATGCGAATATCCTTGTTAGTCTGGTTTAGATTTAGAAACCTGTCTATTATTCAAATTATTAAATACCCAGAAATATAAATTGTATGAATAAAATAAAAAAAACTAATTTAATATAACACTTTTTCCTATCAATTTTAAAATACCAAAGGCAACTAGATTACTCTATATACATAAAAAATGTATACGTCTTATACACTAGTAATACTAGTGGAATAATTGCTTGAAAAAAAAACAATATTAATGAGAGTTAGTTAAAAATATTAGTACAGCACATATTAGTACATGTTTTATATACTAAATTACTAAATAACTAATTTACTAAATTACTAATTTAGTATATTAAACTACTAATTTTATTATGACTACATTTTTTCATATCAATGACTCAAAACGTATATAAGATATAAAAAGTTATTCACTTATATGAATTATAGATGACTTTTTATGGGGCTGTATACCATCTTTTAATTTTATATATTAAAATACAATATATAAAGAATACTGATAAGTCAAATCAGTCAAAGATTGAAGATTTTCTACGAAATAGAACGCAATGTTATTAAAAAAAACGGTTTAATTTTGTTTTTAAATATTAATCAAATTTAGTATTTTAGTATAGTATCAACATTATATCAAAGTAAGCATATCGATCCAATAATTATAAAAGATGATTTTTATTATAAATGATATATCATTAAAATCATTAGGGCCCATAATGGACATGAGCTGCAAAAAACGTAAAGTAGTAAAATGCATTAAATAGGTATTTTGCAGCCTCAATGTACTGGGGAAAATATTCAAACAGTATTTCCAAAAAAAATATCATTGAATATATTTTACAGATGTCAAGAAGTTACCCGATAACGGGTAGCTACGGCTAATTAAATAAATAGATATTTTACGGACCACTAGAGCTATTAATACGAACCAGCAACGGTTTAAAGATTACGCTGCATTGCATGATGTTGGGCTGTGCGTACAAATTTTGTTGTTATGGTAACTGCTGGGCCCTAAAAGCAGATAACATTAAAGGTTTTACAAAACGAATACATAGGTAAAGATTTGGATGGGTAATGGTTGATGGTAAGGGGAGGGGAATAAGGGACAAAGGGTAATTTAGGGATTATTGTCAAGTGTGTACTAATCAGCGCCGTCACTGCAGCACTTTGCATACATATTCCACCGCTTAATAGCATAATAGAATCATAGCATAGTCAATTTGTTTAAGCTCCCATGTACCGGGCCTGAATCATGTGCGTATATAAAATTATAGTGACAATGATAATATTATAAACACAACCACTTATCTTTACTTCATAAAAATACCACAACCCATAAAACTAAATGTTATAAAATAATAAAGTGTATACCTTTTTGTTCTAATTCCTTTATTAATTTAAGGCCAATCTTAAAATTTTTTTAGTCAAAAGTTTACATAATTTTAAAATCTTATTTTGTATTAATTGAACTGATCATTTGTATAGGCATTCGTATATGTATCTACTATAAATTATTTGTATAATAAAAATTTAATTTTAAAAAATATGTGATTAATATATACATACCAATTTAGAAAATGATTAAAAATAGTTTTACAATTTTATAAATACAAACTAAAAAAGAAACGATTATTTTGATTTGAAATAAAAAAAAAGTGATACTATAAATTATTAAATACAAATTAAACAAAAATTTATATAAAAATTCTAACATACAAACAAAAAAATTCTACATAAACAAAATATTTTCCTAATCTTCCTAAAGCATAAAATAAAACGGAAAAATACATAATTTTTCAAAAATAAAATGTAAAACAAAATATCGGAAGTTTTTTAAAAATATACAAAAATACAAATAAATATTGAGAGAAATGTTATGTGTATAAAATATAAATTATATATTTATTAATTTATACCGGGAAAATAAAAAAAAATTATAGAATATAAAATTTAACATTTGTAATTTTAATTTCATTTTATTTCTAAAATAAGTTAAAACTAATATAATTAAATATTTGCTTTCGAGTAAATATTTTAGAGAACTTTAAAACAACATCGAATAAACAAAATGAAAAAAACAAATAAGCGAAATTAATTTTGCTTATAGTTACGATAAAAAACAATAATTAATATAATGCTATACATTTGATAGAAAACAATTTTCACAATATATCATTTGGATAAAAATAAACTATTGTATGTAATACATTTTAAAATATTAATTATAATTAAATCGCCTTTTAAGAAATCTACTTGATTAAAAATAACAACAAAAAATTGAAATGGAAAAGAATATAAAGTATGTAATATTATTAAATATTTTTTTGAAAAAAATTAATTGCAGGAAATAGATATATAAATTTTGTATTAAACTTAATATTTTTATTTTAAATATTTAGAACATAACTTTAATACCAATAAGTCTTTTTGCGTAAGCAAATTATATATAATAATATTTGATGTTTATCCAAAATAAAATAATTTTTTGACACCTCCCAGGTTTACAATTACATATACGTTGTTTATCGAAATAAGTTTGTAATGATTTTACATTATTATTAATTTCATGATTCTAAAATTTATCGCACTCTGCTCTTTACATCAATCTTCATTTCTCTCTTCACTTAAATTTTTTCATTTTAAATTTTTTACATAACGCAAAATACTCTTAATATGATTAATTCAATAGTACTTAGAAGCTCATATAACCGCGTGATGTGGAACGACGGCGTGCACACAAGTATGCGATGAGAACAATGACAATTAATGCAACTAATGCAATGCCCACTGCAAGAGGTACAACATCAGATGTCTCAGAACTATCGCAATCATGCGCAACTGAGAACCCATTGGCCTTCTCTGGAAGGAAGGCTTGAACTTGTACATTACGCACAGTCATTTTGCCCATGACCTTGTTCTCGGCAATAGTTTCAGTTAAATTAAATTCCTGTGGACGGGTGCAGTGATAAGACATTTTGTTAGGTGCTGTAAAATCGAAACCACGGTGCAACAATTGGATTGTCTGATTCTCTAAAGTACATGAAATAAATTATATTTGTTATTATAAAAAAAATAAATGTTTTTAGCAACTAACCTTTTGCATCTGGGAAACGATCGCTGGTCAAAGGAATATTAATGCTCACCATGGTCATTTGTACTGAACTTTCTTTGACATCAAATTGCATTACCATCATGTTTACTGCGTCAACGGGACCCCAATTGATATGTATATTTTGTGTAATGGTACCATCGCAGGACCCATCGAAAACTTTTGCATCAGCAGGGATATTCAATAAAGTAGTTTTTTCCTTATTATCTATAAAGTATATATACAAAATTCATAAATAACTGCTTTAAAATTAATTGTATTATTTATAACCATAGATCTAATTATATCACAAACTAGCCAGAAAAGGAGCAGCCACACCGATGATGGGGCAGAAACCTTTTTGGGGTCTAGGCAATAGTACGCTCTATTCCCTCATAAAAATAAAGGAGAACCAGAATAAAAAGGATTACTGGGATAGTATACTAGGATTGAAACAGTCCAAATCACTTATTGATATCTATAACAATAAGAGATACCAGGATTGCATGAACCTATCAAAAGACAAAATTAGAATCAACACAGGAATCCTAACAGGGCACTGTAGATAAAAACACCACTTTACAAAACTGGATATATTTACGGATGTAAACTGTAGATTCTGTGAAGAGAATGAGTAGTCGGCCACACATGTGCTGTTAGAATGCCCTACGCTAATGCACATACAAAATTGGCTCCTAGAAATGTATATTCTTACGGAAGAGGCAGTAAAACTCTGTAAAGTAGGTTCTATACTACGTTTTATTGACACAACAGGGCTTAAAGACCTACGCTAAGCCCAGAAGGGGGCACAATAGACCCGACGGTCGCAGAGCTACATCCCCTAACAATAATAATAGTATTTATATCACAATAATATAAAGAATCTAAAAAAGGATAAACAAAGAATTTAGTTAGAAATAAAACTGATCGGATAGACCCAAAAGTATATTCTGTGTAAAAGATATCCCAAATATATAATTTTAACAAAGCCCTCAAAAGATATCGCTACAATATTTTTCATCGTACGATATTTCAGAGCAATCTGCTATTTATTGCTCTTATACTAGTTTTTTTGCAATTATACTTTTGACTGTTTTGCGACATATCACCTCTTATACATTAAATTATACTGCGATCGCATAGACCCATATTTATGCAAAATTTCTTAGGAAGAAACAAAAAACACTCAACGAATGTAATCTGCCAAGCACTGTCCTCATCCAATACAACTCATCAATGCAAAACTAAAAATACCATTTCGCGAAAGCTTAAAATAAAATTCACATTAGTTGAGGTCATACCTCAATCAGCGTATGAAAAATTTTGAAAAGTGGAACAAGCAGTATACTGGAAAAACATCATAGAAGATATTGGTAACAATTTTTATGGCTCTATAGCAATATATATATAAGGAAGGAAATTAAAAACAGAAAGACAAAAGAATTTTTAACTGTAAAATAGATCTATGTGGAGGTCTCTGTAACCCAAACATAAATAAGTAAATAAGACAATTTCATGGATTGGAATGACCGTGATCGGTGATATAAATAAGTATATATAGCAACTAATTACATTAAACTGTGGTTTCATATCGTTTAATTTTTCCAAACTAAATAAAAAGGCAAGTACTTTCAAAACAATAATTGGACCGATATTATATTGAATGGCTAAAATTAAAATAGAGACTAAATCGGAATGAACAACACAACAAAATTTACTCGACTATGAACATCTACAACACGGCTTAAATTAGCAGATAAATTAAAAATAGTAACTGTAGATAGAAACAAATTCATAAGGTCCTCAACTAAATAGAAACAGACCAAGGCTTTATTAGAAACATAGTCTGTGGTCTCAGTGCTAATGTCAACAAGAAACTAAAGATATTTCATAATCCCTTAACAAAATTTTGTAGTATAATAAATAATGATGCATATACAGGATCAATCATAATAAAACAGCATAATAATAATCATTTTCAATAACTGAGATATAGGAATAAAAAACAAAGTCTCTCCGAAAAAAAGCTGCAGTCAATACTGGTCTGAAAGCATTTCGCAATCAACTATAACTAATGATATATGGTAATAAATACAATATTTTACATACCTTTTGTTTCGTAGGTGAAATTTAATTGTGCAGCCATTGAAACCATAATACAACTGGAGTTCCATGTACCAATGGTGGGGTCTGGGAATGGTGCTGGTGCTGGTGTTGTAGTATTTGGTGGAGCCGGTGTACTAGTTGTTGTGGGAGCAGCAGTAGTTGTACTAGTAGTTGATGAAGTTGTTGGAGCTGCAGTTGTTGTGGTCGTCGTTGTAGAAGTTGTTGTTGTAGAAGTAGTAGTGGAAGTTGATGTGGTGTTCTTTTTTTCGATATCTGCAGCAGGAACATGGATTGGTTCAGCAATCACAGTCGGTACATTTGATTGAATTCCAGGAATATTGGCATTTGCCAAACTTACATCGAGTTGCTCAGCTGCAAAAATAATTTTAAAAAATTATTAAAATGAAAAGCTTGAAAATAATTTAAGTATGTCAGTTGGTATTTGTATTTAGTTAGAGTTTTGAGTTAAGTGTTGTGTTTTAGATAATTGCTCCGCATAAAACAGAATTATTCAAATACTACTGATGAATAAAAACATATAAATATTGAACTTAAGAAGTTCGTTTTTATTTTATAAAATCGTTTTAATATTTAAAATTCTAACAATTTTCATACAATTAAAATTTTTGATTATAGACAATTTATAAAAGAACACTTCAAATAAAAGTAGTGATCGGTTTATTAGGCAAACGAAAATCAAGCAGAAATTTATTTTTTAAGATTACAACTTATTATTAATATAAAATGAATATCACCCACAATAACAGTAGAGTTAATTGTTGTTGTTATAAAGCGTTTAGATAGTAACAGAGAACATGAGTTCTAGTAGTTCTAGTAGATATTTTAAGCAAATACGTTTTCAAACGAACAAAACATCTGCGTAGAATGATAATTTATTTATTATTAATACATACGTATAGGTAAGGTATAGTATTCATGCAAGATATAAACTCACAGTATCGACGCAGTACTCATATATAGCATGAGAAATAACGTTTAATTGATTAATGATCGTGCCTAAGGTTTAGATGTAATATTTACTGAGTTTTTGATCTTTCGACAATAGAATTTTTCTAAGTACCGCATATAATCATCAGATAAATAAGCAATAATCATTATACATTAATTTTAAATATAAATACTCCTTCGACTCAATACAATATATTTATTACGAATACTAATAGAATATATTGCATTAACAAAGATTACATAAATTTTTGATTAAATAATATTTTCAATTTTTAATAGTCAAAATACTCAGACATGAGCAGGTCGATCTCCTACTTTATCATTTCAGAACCTTGACTTACTTTTCTTCATTTTTTTTATATTTTTTTTCAATTTAAAAGATTCTTGTGTATTCATCTTTGTTCAAGTTAATTTTTTTTTATTTCATTATCGAATATAAATTAATTTCCCATATATTAAAAATTATCACAGGTCAAAGGGACGACACCGTGAATGATTTAACGGAAATTTTCTATTATACTACACATGAAAAAGTGATAATAAGAAACTACATTGATATTTCTGGAGCAAACTGAATACTATATATCAAAAAAAAAATTAGTCAAGTTTTTAAGAGAGGTAGATAACGACGTTGTATTAAAAACGACAACACATACAAGGTGTAAAGGTATGAAAATATTGTAGTTTTTCCACCCGCTATGCGCAACCGCTAACCAGAAAATTTAAATGATGTTACGAGACTGTACGTTATTATGACTTTCGTCGTGGATTACGAGTGTAAAGACAAGAGTGCATTGATCAACTTAGTTCCACATTTGGCGTTAAAGTTCTAATGCCACTGTAAAACGCTGGTACAAGGATTTCACGAGTAATCGTGGCCTGGCCGCAGTTCGCTCACTGAAGAAATTCGTGAGGTCGTTGTTGTGCCAAAATCAGTTGTTGTGCCAGAAAACATTGATGTTATGAAAAAACTAATACGAGTAATGTATGATGTAAGATCGTCATGCGACATACTATGAGATTGAGGGAACCCTAGGCATTAGTTCCACCAGCATATATAAAATATTACACGATCATTGGATCATCATATGACAAAATAAGCATCTCAAAAAGATGCTCGTGTCGATTGGTGCATACAAATGCTCAAGAGATACAATTACGGTGCTTTAAAACACGTACACGAGTATAAGATTGTAACAGATAACGAATCATGGATATATGCGTATAAGACGGAATGTAAACAGCAGTCGACTGTACGTGTGTTTTATGATGAATCAAATCCAATCAAAGTTGTTCGTGCTCAAAGCATTTCGAAACAAGTAGGAAAATTGGTCACATGGCAACTAAACCATTACTGGAACGTAAAACTATCAATTCCGAATGGTATACATACAACCATCTGTTTTCCTGAAGTCTTCAATGAAATACGGAAAACAAACAAACATCGTCGAATCGTTCTCCATCAAGACAATGCGAGTGTTCACTCATCGAATTGATTGGTCATCCGCTGTACAGTCCTGATTTTGCACCCAATGACTTTTTCTTGTTTTCGAAAATCAAGAATAAATTGCAACAATGAAGCCGTCGTTACGTTAAAAAATCATCTTTTGAAAGTGTCTGAAGAAGATTGGAAAAAATGCTTTGACAAATGTTTCGAACCTATGCCAAAGTTTATTAAGCGTAAAGGAGAATACTTCAAGAAACAATAAAGCAATTTTCAACGACAAGTTAGTATTTTTCATTATTAGGCCCAAAATATAGTAACCCTCGTATATGGTATATCGTATATGTAACATTCCAATTAAAAAATAGAAAATTTGAAATTAATTTTTGTAATAAAAATAAAGAAATCAAATAAATAGGGTCTTAAATCTAGCAAAAAGAAGATAGACCAAATCCGATAAAAATTGCCAACATTAAATAGAACACATCTAAAAATATTTAACATTTGTTACTAAAGTAATTAAATGTTTTATATTTACTTGCTTGATTTAACAGAATAACCCATTCTTAGGGCTTAAGCTAAAAAATTAAATCAGAAATTGAAAATACTCTCACCATTCAATAAGTTCAATGAAAAGCAATATATAGCTTTATTTAGTATTAAAATAAACTAGTTTTACGTGTTGTATAATTATTATATACATATAATGTACGTATTATATACTTAATTTGCGTTTTAGGTTATTTTTAGTTATTTTTACTAATCATGTAAATCATTTCTTTTTTTAATCTACAGTAAGATCTGCCCCTTTTTTATATCAGTTATTTGTTATTTAATACTGCATCACTGCCGTTTCATTATGTTGTTATTTACAGTCTGGACAAAATAAGAGATATTGCATTATGTATATAAGTATGTACAATATATATTCTTATATTTCATTAAAAGACTGATAAGTAATTGAAGTTTTTAAATTTAGTTGTTATTAAATACAATTTCTAAAGGTTGCATTCTTTTACTTTTCAAATTAGTAGGGAGAAAATATTGCGTATAAAGTTTGTCAAGATATTTGTAATGATGCAGTGAAGAAGGCATCAGAAATCTTATTTTTATTCTTACAACTATCTTACAGTACAACTATAAGAACCGATTTAGTGATATATATTTATTTGTTTGTATGCACACATGTGTGTACATTTGAATCAATAGTATGTTGCTTGCCGGTCTATTTGTCTGTCTTACTTATTGTCTTTTAGTTGGTCTGTTGGTCTGCGTTAGATTATCTACGTGTCTGTTTATCGATCTATGTATTTGTTTGTTTGTCTGTGTGTATGTGTGCATGCTTTTTAGCTTATATATTAGTCTATTATTGGACTTTTTTTGCGGTAGGTGGACAGCATCGACAACCACAGTGTTAGAATTACATATACTAAAGTCGCCTGTTAGATATTAATGGAGAATATTTACACCTCTGAACTGCTGGGCGGTGGTGTAGGAAACTTCATTCCAGTAATTAATTATGAGAGTGGAGATAAAAACGGTTAGTACTCCAAAGTGTGGATTTATCAAAGGCAGAAAGCAAGAGGAAGAATGGCACCATGGCGTTAGCGAGAAGGTGGGTTAATTGTAAATTGTAGAATTCACAAAAATCACGATTATAGAGTAGTGCATATTATTGGTCTTTGTTTTCTATATCTTAGTGAGGAGTAAAGTATCGAAAGCTAACATTTTCTGAGGTCAAACGGTTCTATTTTTCTGGTACTAAGCTGTCATAGATAATGTGTTTAGGGGTCGATGTGAGCATTAAGTATCTATTGTGATCATCTGTTAACCATATGTTTTTTTAATTTTCTTTTGTTCTCATTAGGTCCTCGATGCTTGAGTTTTTTTTGTTTCACAGATTAGACATTAACTATTTGTTGCTAAGTATTGGGATAGATGATTCATATTAAAAGTTGTTGAATAGGAAATAAAGATAAAATTTCAGTGCAGTAATTTCAGTGAATATTTTACACACTTGCTGGAATTAAGTACAAGGAAGATGGGATTGTTGTTGGTGTACCAGCTATTCTGAGCTATTACTCGACTTGACCGTATGGTGAAATGATTGATTTGAAGTTCTACTGTCGGCAATCATTGCCATAAAGTAAAACATTCATCACAATACTGTTACTTCAGACTCCGCATTTTTAGAGTCTGATTAGATGTTGATAACACATTATTATTAATTCCATTAGGTAGAATTACTGCATATAACACTATAAAAAAATCATGTTAGCTTCGAAATCCACCTTGTATAACGTTTATACCTATATACGAGTATATGATCTAGCAGTTTCAATTTGAAAAATTTTATTAGTTAATTCCTAAAGAAATTTGTATGGAGGGTATTCAAGCTTTACTGAAGCCAAAACTAAATTTTTTATTCGTTTAAATTAAATTAAATAAAATTGTGATGATGCATAAAATTTGCATATTTTTCATTACTAAGTTTGCTCTGGTTTTGCTGTTGCTGGTGTATTGGACTTTTCATTTACTGATAGCTTTTTATCACATTTTATTATCGTATTATGTTTCGTTATAATTTTTGTTAGTGTTTTTGATTTGTAATATATATATAAAATATATTCATTACTTTTTGCTTTTATCAGCTGTTTTTTGTTGTTTATTTTCTTTGTTAAAAGTAAAAAACTGGAAAAAATAATGTGATTAATCGCTTAACTCTTAAGAATGATTCATTTATAAATAGCCGAAGAACACTTTATATATCACTTCATTTACTATTCTCTTTAGAATAATTTTATACTTTTTTATAGCTTAGTATACAGTGTTTCGACCTATCAGAAAATGTGGGTTTCGTACTGCAAACATTGAAACGAAGTTGTCAATACACAAATATGCTTAAAAAATAGATTAATAGATTTTTCTATTTGTTCTATACTGCGCTATATGATTCAAA